GAAAGTTAAACCCAAAAACACAGCCTTTCTGGGTGCTGGTGAATGAATGATGTCAGCAGTTCATTACACTTAGAGTTGTGGGATTTAGCACTTAATCATGCTATTATGAAAGCTTTTTGGTACAGCGCAGCCTACGGGGAATTTAGGACCTGTGCAATCAGCAAGCAATAATGTATGTCCTTGACCAATCACATCTAAGAATTTATCAATGAGCTGTACCATTGAATATTTATTTCAATGTGAAATCATCTACAGAATAAAATTGAGAAAGATAGATGTGATTAAGACATACGAGAGACCAAAAGAGAATTTCAACAATTAATATTGAGGGAATGAGACTGCACAATTGACAAGTCAAATTTTACGACCAGTGGAGTTATTTGATTAATTGACAGTTATCACTGCATTAGAAAAATTACTTACATTGGAATAGACTCTCTTGTGGATTGCTTAGTGGATATTTATCGTATTAGTAAAGCGTCGTGTCCTTTCATGTATTTCAGTGCTGATTCCCTTGTTCCTCCTGATGGAACAAAACAACTTAGACACTCCACTGTTAACTAGATGAGCGTATTTCCCAAAAATTGCTACCCAATTTTAATCCTAGTACCAGTGAAATTCAATGGCCTTTCTGTATTTTTACTGCAAATTACTTGCCAACGTGTTCAACGTAAGTAATTCCAAAGTGTGTGGAAATCTGAAATGACTTAATTTGGAAGAAAAGACAATGGAGAAATTCATTTTCAACATCTGGGAGTCTATGATGGAACCACAGTACTTTGCAATTCTGCAAAATGCAATATGAACCAACTTCGTTTAAAAAAAATTATACTGGGATATAGTTTCCAAATCAGTTTGTTTGACAGTTCAATTATTATAAATTGATTCATTGTAAGGAAATAAATTCTAACGTTTATGATAATGTTTTGCAAAAATGCATATTTATACAGTACCTCAAGTACCCAATAGCCTCAACCAATGAGAGAGAAAGGAGCAGCAAATCATGGCAGTTGCCCCAGTCACAAAGAATCCAGACTTACATCTAATATATGTGTCATTGTCACTGAGTCAGTATCCTGGAATTCCCTACCTACCACCATTGTAAGACATCAAAGGGGTGGGGAAAAGAGTTGACCCTGGCTTCCTCAAGACAATTAGATATGAGAGACAAAGGTAGCCTTGCCATGCCAACCAATTTGTGAAGACAAATGAAGCATATGTATTTAACTCACAGCAGGAACTAAATCCAGAGGTAAAATGGATATTTAATTGCTAAATTATTCGCCAGATTAGTGTTAAATAAATATCCAGGAACTTTATACCTATCAAAGGAATAAATTCATGTTCATGTTGTTGGAATCCAGCTCCACACATAAAAGTGGGATCATATAGGGACAAAAAAATTTATTGAGTTTTTTAAAGGATGCGTTATATGGCTAGCCTTCTTCCTTTGTGTTTTAGATGATTGGTTGAAGCCATTTTACTAGTAGTCTGGACAGGCTAATAAACTTCACTGTAGAGAATAGGAAATAACATTATGTTGAATTCAACAGTCTCCAGTCACTTTGAATCTGGTTAAAATTTACAGTAAAGTTAGATTGCCTGTTGGAGGATCAGTGCTTGTTGGCATAATCCAATCGTATCAGCATTGCGCATGTGTGAACGTTTGTACTTCACAATGAATGGAGGCAGATAGAAAGACAACGTCCGAAGCAGATAGAAAAATAAAGAAAATTACAAGGCTGGGAGAAATAAAATTCATTTGTTGGATGAAAGAAATTGTTTTTAACTTTGTGACCAAAGGCAATGGGATATGCATGGATAGGTTGTCTTCTGATTTTGGCTGTGCTTGTCTGTAGGACTTAGTCAATAAAGTGACTGTGTACTTAGCAAATGAGAATTGCAGTATCTAAATACTATTATTTTTAATTGCGCAATGTGCAACATTTCCAAAATTTGGCGATTGGTATTAAGTGATAAATGAGCTGTAACTTGGGTATTTCTCACAGTTAGCTTTTCAGTTGAACAGATACAAGAAATTTCTACTTGGCAAGTGGTCATCTGCAACCTATTGACCCAGTTTTGACCTCGCTCAGCAGTAAGATGGGAGGTTGGTGGGACCCAACCTAGATTGTAATTAAAATGTGTCAACATTGTCCAGTCCTCTGGGACGAATTCAGAAATTGAACAGGGTGACTTTTGTTAGCTACTTTTCTTCAGGGTGTCATAGCCCATATGGCAGTGATGGAAGGATTCTTTTCATGTTACTTTAGCAACATCGATTTGGTGTAGCAATCACTGTGAAAGTAAACTGCTAATGAATAGCAACAGTAATATGGTGCAGTTACTCCCAAAATATACACCATACTTTTTAATTAGATGTGCAGCAGCCTATATTGCAGACTGAAATTAGCATCTTATTTCAGTGTATTGGTAAAGAAAATGTAACATTTTATTACATTTGTGAATCAAATTTAAAACAAAACACACAAAATTCAATCCCAGAAATTTTAGCATTTCATCAAAATGAAATGAAGGTTCTTTATTCAAATACAGGTAGTTCTCCTAGAATGCGATAGTTGTGTGCTTGTGTGACCTCGCACTGTCGAAAATTGCTTCCTTAAAATTGTGTTTTAGGGAGGTCGCTATAGAAAATCTCTGTATCTGATAAGCAGAAAGTTGATGTTATCCAAACAGCGTCCACTATTCATCAATCACGTTACAGCCAATTTGTGTTCACGAAACATGCATTGTAGCAGAACTACCTGCAGTTAACTTATTTTTGCTCTTTTGAGATGTTGACATCACTCTACTATGTCAATTTTGGACTTTTGTTTTACGTTTTAAGCATTTGCAAGTTTCTTTGCTATTTATCACGTGACTTCAAAAAATATCATGACCAATTTAATGTTTAAATATGAAGTCTGATCTCCTATAATTTGTATGCATTCCCTTGCAGAATGCACCATGCAGGTACTTTATGACCCTAGAGGTCAATCAAAAGAAAAATTGGGTGTTGTCTTGCACTGAGGCCCATCTGGAACTACTAAAGATCAGCTGGCCTGCAAAAGGTCAAACTCCAGGAAACCCCCATCAGTGTCCTTAGAAGTTCCCTAAGAGATCATAATATTATTATTCTAAAGTCTGTGTTTTCATCTCCAGTGCCAAATATTATTTGAAACATAACCACACAGACCAGCAATTTACAAAATCAAATACCCTAAGTTCTGTTTCAGATTCTTCTGTCCACAAGAGATTTATCCATTAATATTATTGTTTAAATGAAGTACTTCATTTTGGAAAATTGTTGAGCATTAGAGAAAGACAGCAGTGCATACAGACATAAAATTGTCTTAAAGATCTCAAAACCTGGTATAATTTGCCAAATTGCTTCCCACATCAGATTTGTTCAACTAATGCACCAGAAGTGAATATCTACTGTTGTCTTTATAAGACATCATGCTTCAGCTAGAGGAGTGGGCTGGTTGCGGATCTTCATTGCTTCATGTCTGCCACCGTTTGATGTGCCAATTCACAATGTGCAAAGACTGCAGAAAACATAGAAAGCAGTATTTTCCATTGGGATCAATCCACTTGCCAAGCCACTTCACCTATGAAAACTGACAAAGTATACTCGTATCTATGGCAGATTTGTTTTATATAATCCTGGCAGTTGCATCCCTAAACTGATTTTACGGAGGATATTCGAGCTGTGCTATGATGCTGAAACTTTAGAATATTTGTGATGCTAATTTTATTGAATAGAACAAAGCACTACATTGTTCATCAAAGGGAAGTTTTAGAGGCTCTTTTTTTTAAAATAACAACACATTAATTAACAATGTGATGTTTAAGTGCATGAGAAATGGTCTAGTGCGTGCCTAACCTTGACAGGCATTTGTGATTCTTTTTGCATATGGAGTAATTCAATTAGTCAACTCAATAAAATTGTTTGATTAGAAATTCAAATAATTTAGATTGTCCAATAATGGGTAAATGTGAAAAATGGAATGAAAAGAAGGTAGTTTAAATTCTTTTTCTTCAGATAACCTGCAGTGGACCTGATAAGAATAGAACTTTTAAATATAATTGCACAGCTAGAAATTATAAAGCTAATAATAGTTTGACTGACGGATGCAAGGTATTCTTTTTTGGGCCATAGGTGCTTAAAGCATTGATAAATTATCCTTTCGAAGAGCAGCATCTGAATGCCCTTTCAGGATAGATATTGATACTAAAGGTGCTATTTTTAACTACTGGATGATCTCCCATGGCCCTGCTTATGATTAGCCTGAAGAGTAGTACAGGATTGTGTTGATTAACTACTAATAATGCCTGGCCGTATGAGAAGGTGATCTAAATAGGCAACTCCAAGTGACTGCAGCGACTTATAAATTCCTGTGATTAATCTGGCCGCAAGTCAGAATGATGTGTTAAAAGATTGTTTTGCATCTGTGACGTAGTGTAACCTCTGGAATGTGAAGGACATGTATTATACAAATGACTACTTTTGCGTTGTATTGTTATGTTTTTAAAAATATATATAAACCTCCCTCAGTTGCATTACATCATCAGCTTTCTCTTCCAAACATGGACATTTTGATTTGTCACAGCTTCTGGCTTGTGCGATACCGGTATGTTGTCAATGGTAAATGTGTTAAGCAGGTGGGTAAAACACCCACCCTAGGTTGGTGATTTTTATTTTCTTCCATGTGAAGAAGTTGTCTGGCATCGTGAAGTATTCCTGTCTGGCGAAGGAACAGAGAAAGCCACTCTCAGATTATAGCCTAGTTCCATTTGTGTCAAGGCTGGAGTTTGGACCTGGGGATCCTCCAAACTAGAATGAGAAATTATACTGTCAGTTTACCTCAACGTTATCTGTCACTAAGTTTTTTTTTAAATATTAAGCTCTTGACACTTTGAGCATGGTGCTTCAGTCTGACTTACATTTGTGGAGACTCTTTTGTCACAAGATGACTTGATGTTCATGAATTTTACAGAATTCAGGCAAAACACCGTGAAATTCGGGAGCGACAGGCCCGGGAACGAGACTATGCAGATCCACAAGATTTGAATAGAACCTATGGATCTGACGATGACCCAACATATGCTGGCATGAGTTGGTGTGAGTCTTCTTTAGACAGCGGGCACAACCTGATTTTAAATACTAGAACACAGAATGCAAGAGAAGAAACACAACCAATGGAAGTGGTGTATGCTCAAGTGAATAAGTCAAGAAATGGAAAAATTCCATCTGTGGAAAGGTAATCTGATGTATTTTACGCTTGCAGTTTAATCCGAAAGCCTTTTTGCAGCATGCGCTTGCTTCCTGAAAGGCTGACCATCCACACAAAATTCTGTCGAAAGATTGATCCAGAATTTAAAGCCACCATATCAGAGCTGCACTTGAAGATTTTGCATGGGACATGTACACTGGTTGTATATTTCCATAGTCCTTTCTTTAAAACAAAATGTTTCACTAACTTCTATTTCAGCACATATTAATGTTCCAGCTTATTTAACAGTCTCATAAGACAGCAAGTTGGAAAACAACATCTTTAGTGGTGTGTCACTCAAATCTAACCTTCAGCTTGTTCAATGTTACGGTTTGGTTGTTTTTAAGTTGTATCTAATTTTATCTACTCCTCCTTCCTATTGATTTACTCCAATTTTGGGGTTCCTAAAGTGGCCCAACTGAACTATCTTTGTTTATTTGACTTTGGAAGGGTTTAGTGAGGGAGGTATAACATACTCAGTGCCTTTGAACTGTTATGATGGGGGAAACAAAATGCAGTATGTTGCTTTTGCTACAGGTGCAAATATATTTTGATTACCTCACTACAACATATATAGAGTAAAACTGCATTGAACAACAGGAAATCAGGAGCGTATATTTTTCCAATGTGAGCTCAGTTGCAGACAGCCACTAAGCACCCTGCACAGGAGAAAACAAAAATCATCATAGAAGAAATTGTCTTGGTTTTCACAGATTAGGCACTTGTCCATCTGAAATGTTTGGATTCATTCAAGTTTAGATCATTTGCAAGCTGTAAAGCTTTCAACCTAATATGGATGTCCTTAAATCAGTGCTCATCTCTGCATGGTATTTTTCTTTATTTTTGTGGAATCTTAGTTGTGATTCGCTGTGACAAATTGATACATAAATGTTACCTAGAAATCAATGGTTAGAATTCACAACTGGAATGCCAAGCTGTGAGAATAATCAGCCAAAGCAGTAGAATACAACTCAGAGGATGTCGTGATCGAACTGTAAAGGGCTCTGTCATTCATGTACTGGAGTTGGTGTGGAAAAGGGACACCAGACAGGGCTCAAGGAATTGAAAGAGTTAATTCAGGATGTTTTTTTGAGACATAAACTTGAGAGGGACCCAAGGGAATCTAGGGTGAAACTAGCGAAGTATAATTTGGGTAACATCAAGAAGTGATTTAAATATAGCAATCAGAAATATAGAAAAGTATTGGAGGGAAAAGCCCTTGAGTTATTTAAGAAATTATTAAATGCCACAAGTGGACCATAGAGGATAACTCTCAATGGTTGAAATAAAATGGACCAAATGGTATATCTCCTTCATAAAATTCTTATGACATCTTAACACAACAATGTAGATCTCACATGCTGCAATATCGTGTCTTGAGTCCTAGCACTTGCATGACTATTCTACAGAGCTCAGAACAATATAGTAATGGTAAAGTTTATTCAAAAGGAAGGGCAACAAGCTTTATGCTTGACACAGCTCTCCCAGCCTTTAATGATTATTGTGATGTGCCCAAATGCAAGTTAAGCCACTCATCATAAATTTTGGTAATGCATGTACTTTATTGATATTGTAACATGATTACAGGGCTATTTTCTAATTGCGTGCAATTTCATATTACACCTAGAAATTGTGGTTGATTCAAAAGAAGTTCATGCTTGATTGTTCATGGATGATTTTATGATGCTTTTTTAACTTAATGCGATCGTAATTCCTTCAAATGATACATACTGTACAATGCACAAGTGAATTTTTAGTTCTAGCAGTTAACTTTCTAATTGAAGCTGGAAGCTTTCCCTCCTTACTCCCTCATGAATATACGTCTGATTGTATTTGAAAAATATATGAGATTCTAAGGTACAGCAATTAGTTTGCAATACTGATGACTCTTCCCTTTTCGAAAAGGAAAATAATCTTTGAAGTGCTCTTGCTTTTGTCTGTGATTAGAGAGGAAGAATGCACAGGAGATGGTAACAAGGAAGTCCACTTCCTATCCAAGGTCATGAGACAGGATGAAGGTGTGGACCCACCCAGGAATTGTAGGCTGTAATTACTATTGATGTCAGCATCTTGTAAACAATCTTTGCTGTAATTAGGAACGGTAGTCGTACAGTTTCTTGGGGCATTAATGTTGCAGAGTTTCCAATATGCAACTTGCAGTTAATCCATTGTTTTGGTCCGGAAATTGCAAGTGCAGCAAGATCATCAGTCAAGGCAAAGTGAATTTTGTCCAAATGATGAGAAGCTTACACGAGGAGTTTACCTAAACCTAAGATGTGTAACACTTAACTTTAGGACAATTCCAGAAGGTTGGCTACTCTGCATTTCCATTATTAATACAGATCAAGAGATGACAGGAAGAATTCACCAATTTTGCTGTTATTTAAGTGTGCTTTAGTACACTGCATATGTGCCAAAATTTAACATGCATTTCTGTACCTATATGTCACATCTTCAGAATGTTATTTTTGCTCCTAAAGTCACTGTGAACAACAAAACTATCAACTCAATTTCAGGAATGGACAATCTATTTTTTTTTAACTCTTTACATTTTTTCCCTCCAGCTTCCCAGCAATTGACTTTGCAGACACAAGTCTATGTCATATTAACTATTCAGTGACCTCTGTAACCTCTGCTTTCAAAATTGGATTGCCAATTAATTGAAGTACTGCCATTGTACTTGGCGAAGTGCAGGGACGTGTGGCGTAGGGAGCATTTTTAATTAACAAGAAAAGGACCAGACCTATAAATTGAAGACAACACTTGTATAAACTAAATAACTGAACCGAAGGGTCTAAGGATTTTGTCAAAGTGCAGCTGCTCAGATAATCCAAAATTGTCTTTTCTTGTTCCATCCAGTCCTATGTCCTTTGGTTTGCAGTATTTTAAAATCTTACTTGCCACTTGTGCTTTCCATTTCAAGTTGTACAGCCCTTTCTCTAGAAACAAAGCTACTGCTCGACATCTTTTGACTTATTCAACATTTTTATCAATGTTTATCCCAAAAAGAGTTATGAAGTGATCGTAAACATTTGAAAAACATATTTGCCTGGTTTTGAATTACATGGTTATTTTCTGAAATTAAAAAAAATTATACATGTTCAAACTATTCAATATGAGCTGATATAGTGTGACATTTCCGTGCCTTGGAACGGTGTTGCACAGTAGTATACCTCCAAAATGTGTCTCTATAAACAGTGCTAACAGTTGGATTAGTTCCAACGTCATTTTCCTTTCATGCCCCATCTGTTTTTTGGTAGAAGTCAGCTCTGATAAAGCCAGAGTTTCTTTCCATTAAAAGGTCATTTCAAACCCTTCACTTGAAAATGACATTTATGATAATAGCTGGTAGTGAAGTTCTATGGGGCTTCGAAAAGTGTGTTAAAAGTGCACAGCATTCCTGTGTCAGGCTTATTCTGTACATATTGTGTGTTCGGATGGAGTACGGAATGCGAAACATTTTAATTTAAAACTGTTGTGCAGCAGGCAGTTCTTTTGGAAAAGTTTGTCTCTTTGTCTTCTTTCAGCATGGCATAGCAGTCTGAAACAATTGAGGACACAGCATGAACCATGTTGTACTTGACTGTAGTAACTAATGTAAAAAGATTTAGACTATCTTATCCAGGTGGGGTTGTTTAATGTACTCAGCCTACTCTATTGAGCAAAAGAACATACCGTTTCATTTTAAATCAGGGAAAGTACAATATATACTTGTTTATTTTCTGTTTCTGCTTATCAAATGTAATTATTTTTTGTATATAACTTATTTTGGGGATCCATTGATGATATGTGTATGGTCTTGGGTTGCTGAGTAGTGAAGCGAAGGATTGGCCTAACTGTATATGGCCAGAATCATAAAGCATTCCCAGCTATTGTTTGTACTGAAGGTAGACTTTGAAGTGCTCTCTGTGTGAGTACACCTTGCTGTATAGCATATCTTCAATAGCATTGCACAGGAGAAAACAAAGTCAGATTTCCAACACATTCAACTCATGACTGTTTCTGGGACAGTTATCGCTGGAAGCCTATTAAAAGTCCTGTTGAATTCCATATAGTGTAGTACAGCAATCCAGAGAACAAATGGAACTGACTGAGTTGTAATCCATTTTGTTTCAAGACTTTCACAATCAGTGAGTTTTTCATTTCCATCAATATGCATTTAACTTAATACTTCATCAAATTGAGTCAACCTTCATAGACATAATTTGTTTCATCTGTTAACAGTCTCCAACACTTAAAGGACAATGTAGGCAAATCCTGATATTATGACTTAGATATAAGCTGTTCCTGGAAATTGAACATCTATTCCTAATTGTTAATTTCTTTATTGTTCCCTGTTTACCATACTATTACAGATCCTGGTATGACATGTTAAGGTAGATGCTGCAACAAATTTCAGCTAAAGGTCCTTGGGCACTGGAGACAAGCTCACAAACTGCTTTTCAAGGCTGAGGGCTCAGTGTTGGCTGTAACATTCGCATTTAAACGAGCAATGTTGAGCAACAGAATACAGTGATGCATCACAGCAGAATTGTGTTCTTTTTTGCTGTGTTGTTTGCAATTCAGACATAAACTGTTCAGACATGTTCCACGCAGCAGACACAGTTGAGACAGAAACGTAATGAAATTCACCGTCAGAAAAGCTTGGGGTTCTGGGGGCGGAGTTGGAAATGGAGAGGTGGCGGTCCTGAACCCTAAAATTAATGATTACCATTAAATGTGCACCCTCCCCTGAATAAAAAAGGACCTTGGAGCTGCAGTGTTGTTTTCTAGCATTATAACTGAAAGCAAGATCACCATCTGGTCTTAAGACATATACTCCAGAAAATGCATCATCACAGCTTTTTTTGCACTGCAATATATGTGGTTTCCTGTTACCCCAATGAAGATTTATTTTGCTGGCGAGACAGACACAGAAGTGCATGTGCATCTGGCAGTGTTTGAGCCTGCCCTGACTACAGCATTAAATAGGAAATGACAGGCCTTTT